AGGGGCACGGTCCGCCGCGGCCGTCGTACCGGAGCCGGTTCCTCAGCGTGGTCACCTCGCGGTTCATGGACTCGGCCGACTCGGTGACGTCCTCCAGCTCCCGCTGCAGCCTGCGGCGGCCGGCCTGGGCCCGGGACGCCTCCTCCTCCGCCTCCTCCAGCTGCCGCTTCAGCTGCTTCACCCGGAGGTTCGCTTTCTCCAGCTGGGCAGAGCGGCGGGCACGGCGGGCACCTTGGGGCGTGTCCTCCCCTGCCCCACAGCCCACCCCTCCGGGCCCCTCTCTGCCGGTCCCCCGCGTTCTGGCCGCGCTTGTGCTCCCTCGAGGACGCTCAAGCCAGCCCCCACGCTGCGCTCCACGCTGTGCACCCACGGCCGAGTGGGCCTGGCCCCTCACCCTGGCCCTCGGGCCCGGTTGCTTCCTCTGAAACGGGGCGGAGCAGACCGACTTCCCCGATGCGCCCCGCAGCCTCGGTCCTCCTCTGCCGGGAGGGGACACACGGGGTCTCGCTGCCTTTCCTAACCGTCCCGCTTTGCTTTTCTCGGAAGTCACCAAGCTTATCTCCATCCTTCAGGACCTGCGCACCTGCTGCTTCCGCCTCACTCGCTCTCACCCTTCAGGTAGCGCCTATGTGACCTCCTCAGAGGTCTTTCGACGGCGCTGATCTGAGGGGCATCCCCATCCCCGAGTCTTCCTGTCTCCTCTTCACGTCCCTCCGAGCCCTGTCCTGCTTGTGCCTAGGGTTAGTGCTTCCTTCCCCGGGCTGACATCGAGCTCCGAGAAGGCCCGGACCTCTGATTCATTCTCCTCCAAGCGCTAAGGCGTGGCACAGGGCCAAGCACCTAGCAGGCCCTCCATTGTTTGTGGAATGAATAGCAAATAAAGCTCGCCTGAGCTTTTAAGGGCACCTGGACTTGGTCCAGCCAGGTGGATCTAGGATTTGATCCAGGCTCTATCACTTACAAGCTCTGTGACTTTGCTGAAAATTGTATCTTCTAAAATTTCAGTTTTTTTAACCTGTGAAGGGGGCTAGTGATACGGTAGTATCCATTTAAAAAAAAAATTTGCAACACAGTAACTGCTCAATAACTAAAGGATAGCTGGGCATGGTGGTGCACAGCTGTCATCCCAGCACTCTGGGAGGCTGAGGCAGGAGGATTGCAAGTTTGAGCCCAGCCTGGACTACTTAGTAATTTACCAAGAACTTTTCTCTTTTTGGTTTTGGTTTTTCTCCGGTACCAGGAATCAAACTCACGACCTTGTGCTGTGCCGCTGAGCTAAATCCCCAGCCCTAACTTTTCTCAAAATAAAAATGAAAAAGGTCTGGGAAGGAAGCTCAGTGTGCAGGCCCTGGGTTCCACCCCCAGTACTTAAATAATTACAGACTCTGGGGTCAGAATCTGAATCCTGGCCCCACCTCTTTTGAGCTTCATAATTTTGAGCAAGTCACTTTACATTTCTATGCCCTTGGTTTCTTCACCTAAATAAGGGGAAATAACAGTACCTACCTCAAGTGACTCTGCTAAGATTTAAATGTGCTACCTGTCATGTCTATAGCTCAGGACCTGGGACACAGAAAGCATTCTCTGTCATCGTTTTCATCCTGGGCTCGCTTCTGAGGAAGTCCAACTCTGCCCCAGCCCAGCTGCCTCCTGGAGGCGAGGGCCTCTCCCAGAGGCCAGCTTGTACAGATGCCAGAGCCACTGCCTCTGTCTCGTGCAATGCCCCGGGCCCGGATGGGGTCTGCACCTGGCTCCAGCCCCGCACCGGCCTGCTGCTCCTTGCACCTGCAGCTCCCTGCCTCCAGAAACACCGTGTGCTACCTCCCACTGCCCGCTGTCTCCTAAAGCGCCCCCCACCCCCCAGCCCCGCTCACCTGGTCCCGGAGCTGGTCGGCCACCCTCCGCTCCTCCTCCACCTGCAGGACCACCTCCTTCAGCCGCTTCTCCGCCCTGCGCACCAGCTTGCCCGAGAGGATGCGCTCCCTGCAGGGAGCGGCAGGAGCTCAGGAGGCTGGCCTGGGGCTGTCCCCGTGGGCTCATCCGGTGGCTGTCATCCATTCTTGGACAGCCTCTGCCTTCTTTCCCACCCCCAGCTGGCTCCCACAGCCTGCTCAGCGCCAGCCAGGACGCTGATGTCCTTGGCTTCCACTATGACACTTGGTGTCCTAAAAATGTCTGCTGTGGTACTGGGCTCGGCACCAAGCACAGATCTGGCCTTCATCCTGCTTTCCTGGCTCACTGCTCCCACAGCCCTGAGAATCTCAGAAGCCACGGTCTTTCTGCACCATAACCAGATGGCTGGGTGTCCTGGCTGGCTTCAGGAGCGGGGCAAGGTGCCAGGGAAGCCCACCATGTGATCAGAGCATTGAGACGGTCAGTGCCCCCCTCTCAGGGAGGGGAGAGGAACTGAAAGTTGAGCTGATCACCAGTGGCCAATGGCAACCAGTCACACATAGTAATGAAGCTTCTGAATTCTAGAAGCCATTGCAGAAATGGCTGAGCCCAACGCTGAGGTCGTGAGTCACACAGGTGGGAATGAGCCAGGCACCCACTTAGCCTCTGAAGTGGAGGGCAGTCAGGAGACTGAGCCCTCAAGCTGTGGGGTCTGTGCTGACTTGGGTTACAGTCAGAACTGAATCATAGGACATTGATGTCTTTGGAGAACTGGGCATAGTGGTGCACTCCTGTAATTCCACCTACTCAGGAGGCTTAGACAGGAGAGTCACAAGTTCAAAGTCAGCCTGGGCAATGTAGCAAGATCATCTCTGAAAGCCAGAGAACTAAACCAGGTGGTGCACACCTGTAATTCCAGCACTCAGAAGGCTGAGGCAGGAGGATCACAAGTTAGAGCACTGCCTGTATTAGTACAGTGACATGTATTAGGCTTATAATAAATATTTTGTTAGTTTCATTAGCACAGTAGCTCTTAACCAGCAATGTTATGGGAATATTTTGGTTATTCCAGCAACTGGAGACAGAGACACCTTCAGTCCGACATTGCTGCTGCTTTTTGGATATGAATGTGGGTATGTGTGGATGTGGCACTTGGTGCAAGTGCAGCCATTTTGTGACTACAAGGAAAAGACCAAGGGAAGCACATAGATGCAACCCATCCTTTGGCTGCCTGGCTCCAACTCTTATCATATGAGAAAAATCCTTTTTGTGATAGACAGATGGAAAAAATGGTGCCAGTTCTTACCCCTTACTGTATCTATACTTTTTCAGTGTAACTGCAACTGCTCCCATCAAGGGGCAAGGCCTTTTTCCCCAGCCCCCTAAATCTGAGGTAATTGCCAGAATTGCTATGGCAGAAGCAACACAACACCAAGATTCCAAGTCTAAGCCTCAAAAGGCCTTTGGCCCTT